GATTTCCAATTCAATTCGTTTTGGCCAACGAACTCTCATTTGTGATGAGTTACCAAATATGTGATTTCATCTATATTATCCGATCAAGAACCGTTTTGCCAACGGAAATCAAGCCATTATTAGCTTCTCTTTATACCTGTTTCACAAATGAAAACCTAGCCTCATTTCCATAACGTGGATGACGATAATATCAGACGCTTATTTGGTGCATATCATGTGATATGATGGATAACGTTGGTGTTCATTGGCAGTTTTTTTCACCTAATGCAATCATTCATCAAGAACGCCGCATACTGGGTGAAGGCAGGTTCTGCAAGGTGAACATTACGGGTTTCACCGATAAATTAATCGATAACCGAAAGATACACTCTGATACATTTCACCATTCGCTGTTGTAACCTCACACAATCCTAACAAATTTCTCATCCATTTCCACATTTCGTTCACATTGTACACCCTCATCATACAATAGCTTCTTGTATAGTATTAGTATGCTCAGTTTTCCATCGTTTCGTTCTTTGTTGTTTGAGTTATATAACTGATAAGTAATTGAATTGTTTATTTCCACTTTGCGGTGAGCTTGGCAGGTTGTTTGCAAACGTTTCATCAGCATTGAAGGTGACATCTTTGGTGCGTGTGGAGTCACTATGTGCTACTTCTACCCGTTTACTGATTTATTTTCTTCTTCAGCTACGTTTTATTCTGTTATCTTTATGTTTAATCAAATGAGCCTTTTTTGCCTGTAAGGATGATTGCCATTGAAGTGTATCAATTTATCCCTATGCGTTGCTTCTCGGTAGTCCGTTCTCTCCAGATTTCGCAATGCCACATTGGTAGTCAATACGTTCACAAATACCAGTTGGTCATCATCTTCGATCCAAATTGTGAATTTGATTTCATCCTAGTCCAAGGGCAAACCAGGTGGAGGAAAGACAGCAACGATGGACAAAACAGATGCTGATTACTGACAGATAAACGCAAGCAATTTGAAGGAGAACACCGCGGAGCTACAAACGCTGAAGACGTCACCTCGGCTGCTGCTGGAACGACCGTTTGCAAACAAATTGTCATGCTCGGTGAATAGGCGAAAAGGAATTCAGTATACCTGATCCAAGCGAATCAATAATTTGTCAAGTAAAAAGTTCTTGTTTTACGAAACGCAGTTCGTGGTCTAGCTTTTCGACCATTTAACGACTGCCATTATTTGAGGCGGAATCCTAGTGGAGCCGACAGTATGCCTCCAGTTCAAACGTTTGGTTCAACTGAAACAGTGAAATTAGGTTGTGCACAGAGTTTCATGAGAAATGTCAAATCGATCAGAGAAAATGATATTCATCTTAACAGAATCGTAATCGTGTTTTCACGGTAAAAGAAGTATTTGGCTATCATGTTATGATTAATACTCTAACCTTCATCAAATTTTGTTTCCGTGCGATAGTGACCCCTTTATGGCCAAATTAATCTTACTTGAAAACATTTCACAGGTAATGGTTTTCAGTAGAGGAAAAACAAACGATGATGAATATATTCTTCTTCATCTATCGGGAAGCAATTTTCCTATTTCGTGAGTTACACAAAGCCGAAGTATAGTCATCGCTTGCAAAGGCAAAAGTGGATCCATTTCGTTTTAGGCACGGATTGTGCAAAGATTGTTCACATACATACAAACACGCACAAACCTTCGTTTATGAGGTCAAATAGTGCCACAGTGTTTTGCTCCTTCTTTAGAAAAAAAGAAATTTACGAGCAAAGACAACAGTTCTGCCATTGGTTCCCAGATTAAAAATGTTTTGAAGAATTTCTCCGTTTGACAGAACCAATTCTGTATCATTGTACTGAGAAGATCTTATCGTTGCACTTATTCTGATTGAGTTAAAAGACCCTATGCTGATATTCTCATTTGTCATTTGCGAGCTTCCTCCCGGTCTCATCAACCACGACAAGGAACGAACGACCATCTAAGGAACATGCATAACTTATAAAACCTTCTGGCCAAAATCTATACAGTCGATGCACCTATGATGAGAAAATGTTTACGTAGGATTGATATTTTTTCCATGGTGAATATGATTATCTTCATACTTCCTTTTTATTTATTGAATATAAAAATGTACAGTCAACCTTCCGGAAGGTGGCCGCGGCCATACAAAGACTGCCTGGGAAAATACATAAATGGGGAACACAAGGCAGCGGTGAAGCGGTTCAAACCCGGGACTTTTGTGTCATCATTACGATAACCTCAACTACTTGGTCGCTACCGCCCCGTGTCTGGTAAAAGTGTAATTGTTCCATATCAAGTCATTATTCAAAAATGTCCCCTTACAAGAAACCGTACACTTTATTTGCGAATTTCCCACATGAATAAACATCAACCTTATCCTACCTCTTGTTTTACTGTGCACCGAAAATGTGCGCTTCCAGTTTCAGGCAGCAACATTTCAAAAGATAAACCGTGTTACAATAGATAGCCCTCTGAGTCCTATCCGAAGACGTTTTGATGAGTTTGTTTGAGACGCGATTGAATGAGGTAATCAAGCAAAAGCGTTTATATAGAAGATTGCTGATGTTTTCATCATTTTCATTCAGTCTCATCATATGGTTGTACTGCTGGAAGAATTGAAAGCAGCACATCGCAACGTAAAATATACCTGAGTGGTAGAGAAGAAAGATTCCATAGCTTTCCTAATGGGATAATAACTTATAAAAGTGACGGTTCCATCCAATGATTTATCTTCCTCAAGAAGACTTGGTTCGGACAGTATCTCCATTTCAACAACTTGTCACCAATTCAAAAGAGCTCTGGTCCGAACGTTTTTCCATACGACGAGAACAATATATATATGGAGAACACAATAATGAGCTAACAGGAGAAAATAGGTATAGCGTATCAACGAAAAATGGCTAACCGGAATCATTCGTTCGTTTCCATAATCAGACTCAGGCACATATCTATCGAGTGTCTATAGAGGATACTCACACACACACACAAACACACACACACATATATATATATATATGTATAAACATTTTGTACTATCTGAGAACTTCACGGTAACTTAGAAAGTCCGATTGAACGGAACAAACGTAAGGAATGGTTAATTACACTTGCATCAAAATGAAACAGTTACATTATGTTGACTAAATATTGAAAATCGGTTTTCGTAGCTCGGGTGAACTGAATTCCATTTCGCCTGTTCGCCGAGCTTGGCAATTTTGTTTGCAAACGTTTCATCACCAGCCGAGGTGACATCATCAGTGCTTGTGAAGTGGCTTCACTTCACACT